AACACATGCAACTAGAAAAGAAAATAATCATATAATCAAAACTGTTAATTCCCCACCACACTAAAAACAAAAGGTTAGGAAGGAAACTCGCATCAAAACTAGAAAGAGCGATAACAGCGGACATGAGATGTTTAATTTCATGAAATAATTATTTTAAGAAAGAAGATTTTATAAATTACAACCGATAGTAACGCTAACATTTCGGTCTATAATTTGTGAAGAAAAAAGATGAATTTCAATATTACTCAATGATCTTGCCGATGTGACCTCCATCTTCTGACTTTCTCCCTCTATATTTTGGATAGGAGTCATTCCCTTATTCAAATTTAAATCTAATTTAGATCAAATGGAAAACAATTTTCAGTTGGGGTTTTTGCATCTCGGATACCTCATTTGATCAAAATGAAATATACTTATCCAAGTACCCTAGGAGTCATCCCCTTGTTCAAAATTAAATTTAATTTATATCAAAGGGAAAAAGTAATTGGGGATTTTGTGCCAACAAAGATGAACCCTCCTTGATGAAAATGAAATATACTTATTCAAGTACCCTGGTTAATGTAGTTTCAAAATATATATGGTTATGGGGTCTATCTCCAAAACCCTAGGAGGTATTCGATAAAAAAAAGACAGAGGCTACAACTTTACTCAGTGTTTTCCTCGATTCCTCCTTTCTTCAAAGAGGGTGGTAAAGAGTCAAACTTTGCTTAGGGCAACAAAAGGCGGGAATTTGTGGAGAGTCATCAACGCCCATGTCCTCAAGGGACACGGCACATAAACGAAGAAGAAACAAGAAGACCTATTAGATAGTATATGTCTCTGTTCTAGCAGACCATTTATTGTAGATCTATAAGCAAGTGGAAAAAGAGATATTTCGATCGTGCAAGACAGCTTATGACGTTGTGGATCAGGAAGGTGTGAGTCGTTTCAATTGTTATTAGGACTGGGAACGCTTGTGAAGAACCTGCGAATGTGTTAATTAATAGTAGAATTGAAATCATCCAGATTATGGCATTGTTGAAAACAGCTAGGATACTGAGAAGTGTGCTAGAGTACTGAGTTGGTTTGCTGTCGCTTAAACCCCAGTGTAGGCCACCAATTACAACTGGTTTGAACATTCAGTCAATGAGCTAATAATAATGATGATATATGATGATTTGGATATTAAAAGTGTCATTTCTGGCGGTATTTCCAGGTAGCTTTCTTTTAAGCGCCGAACTTGTCGCCCTGAAAATTTCAACGCATAGCAGTATCAATTTTTTTATCCGAAACATCATAATTCCTACGTAATGAGAACGAAACGCTCCCTATGTTGCAATTACAGAGTCATCAGTCTTAAAAAAAATTTCAACAGCAGGGCGTGCACCGATACAAGTCATGATGGTAACTGGTAGTACCTAAAGAAAAAAAAGAGTTAAAACATTAGCTATTTGAAGACACCATTGACACTCGCCTAAGTTCATGAGCACTTCACAATTAAGTTATAGTTTACTGCCAGAATCTGTATTTGTCGATAATCATTTGAAATACTGCGAATGGTTACAAATACCTTCAAAGGATTAGAAAAAATGGCAAATACACAAACATAATAAATAAGAAATCTAATGAAGACGCCATTGGTAGTGAGGTATCAGCTAATCTTCTATAACACTATAAGAAAATGTTTGTACGGATATTAATAGTAATAAAAAAAACTATATCATTGGCAGTGCAAGAATCATAGGGATGTGTGATAAACGTTGGTAAATCTACGACAATCTATCAGATGTTATAGTCTATGATAAGGAAGCATAGAAGTGACTTCATATTTAATGCCATATCCCTTCATGACAAAAGGCAATACTTGCTCTACAGGAGTTCCTTTCTTTAATATCTGCCAACTCCCAACGGCAGTTGGAAAAGACATTGAAACGGTTTCCCGTTGACTGGATTTCAGAGTTGTCCTTTACCTAGACAAACTGCCAATCAAGTCTAGGGAGCCCAGTCTACTCTGTTACATAACTCACATGTGCGGTAGGGGGTAGAGAACAGATAGGTGTATGCTTTTCTTAAGGGCATTAGCACGAAAGTGAATTCAAAAGACCAGATCGGAATTTAAACTCGTCGTTTCACTGATCCCGCGCCGGTCACCGTTACGCAAGGCATTCGGCAACTGACCTCACATAATGGCAGCTGTATACAAAATTAAGGGCTGAAAAAACTTACGTTAACCAAATACCAGGTGAAAACACGTCTTCTAATGAACTGTCCATTATTCTGAGAAAAAATTCTCGCAAAATAACGCCCAGGATCCTTATTGTGATTTTGTTTTGTAAAACTAGCAACTAAACTAGAAAATATAGGCTGGACATCCTCCTCCTGCTAATAATAATAATACTAATAATAATGATTATGACGAGGATGTCATTTTAGATATTTGCCAAGTTCCGAAACAATATACTTTTTAAAAAAATATCAACAATGCTACCCCAGGCATGGTTTTCATGGCTTATCTAAATTTAATGGAGGTTTTTAACATGTACATGTTTCGGGCTAGAGTAAATATTCTGTTCATTGCATCAGATTTGCTCATCAGTTACCTGATCTTAATCAGATGGGCTTTTTGCTTTAGGGGCTGACACTCTGTGTATCTCTATTCACGAGCGAGAGTAGTGTGGCAGAATTATGGCAGGGTATCGAAAGGGTTGTCTGTAAAGATTGAAAGATAAAGCAACTTGGATGTCAAATCTAGATAGTTGGGAATGGCCTTAATCGGCGATCATCTACCCGATCTATACATAATTCTAACTGGGCCCCACATTATGGACTGTTTTTATAGGAACCTATCACCAATTTGCGTATATTTGGCTGTGATGCACGCGTTTGGTATAACCTTATCAGATAGCGTTTCATGATAGGTATATATTCGTATATTTGAACCACAGCGTCACTTTTTTTGATGTTCTGTTCTTTTACTGAATAATAATAATAATAATAATAATGATGATGATGCTTGCTAAATAGAAATTACTAAGCACACATACTGAAAAAGTGTGTTAAACCGAAATGCAGATTCTTTGATAAATATCCAGAAACAATTGACCATCTTGTATCAGGTTGCTCAGTGTTAGCACCCACTGAATATAAAACTCGGCATGACAGAGTATGCTAATAACTGCATTGGAAAATATGCAATGTTTACGGGAAAGAAACTGTCAGAAACTGGTATGAACATCACCCAGATCCGGTTACAGAGATAGGACATGTATCAATTTTTATGGGTCTTTACAATACACAATCAGAACAATCAAATCTAATCGTTCAGAGGTCTTCATCAAAGACCACAAACAGAATCTTCTTTCTTATTGACATGCAGATTGTAATGTATCTTTGAAGATCTTCAAAAACCTATAAAAAATGGATATTGAAATAGAAATCTAAAAATTGTGGCACATGAAGACATCATTAATTCCAGTTGTAAATGGATCTCCTCTCGGATTGACTAGAAAAGGATTTGATAGTCTCATTGGAGGGGTTCCTAATAGCTCATACCTTAAAATAATGTAAAAAAGTTATACTCACAACTACAGCTCATACATTATGAAGAGCTTTATCTATGTAAAATATGTGGGATCTTATGTTTTTGTTTGTTTGTTTTGTTTTTTTTTGTTTTTTTTTGTTTTTTTACAAAAATGATCAGTGGAAAATATGAAACCGTTTCTGACCTTAGGTCTCTGGTCGGAACCCGGAAGAAAATATGTATACAACAGAAATAATCCTCCTCCTCCGGTGGAGTAATGGATAGCGGCTCGGATTGAGGAATCGGAGAGCTGAGTTCGAATTCCAGTTGAATCCATTACATTCACTTACGTGAAAGGTACGAATTCTCTTCTCCACCCCATCCCACGTCAGCTTTGGGTAAATAGCAATACAGACCGGGTTCTATAGTCTTTGATGCCAACTGGTCTAACGCAGAAAGAAATGGCATCCTACCGCAGGAAAAAAATCTGCCTTGTCAGTCATGTATCGCGTAAGAGTGTATCACGCATGGAATATAGCTGACTGAAAAAAAAAAAATCATTGATTTTGTTTTCCTATTCACGTAGACTTCAAGTCTCAAGTGAACAATAATTGAGACACTTTGTACAATTGGACGAAGATGAATCAGACAATTAGAGAGGATTAACATGAATAAGAAACCACCAAGAAATATCTTAATAATCAACATTATTATTACCATTAATCGTCTTATTAAGGATTAACATTGAGGGGAAACCCTCTCTGAAGGAGTTTCTTTAAACAAAAAATGGGTTTCTAAAAATATGATAGTCTGAATTATTTTCTATTTTGTTTTCTATTCATTTTTTTTTTTTTTTTTTTTTGTTATAGCACTGACCACTGGGATCTGTGAACGAGAGGCACAACACTGAGTTAGCAATCAGAAAAGTCATGAATCCAATTGAAGTAATTAGTAAACATAACTTAATTTGTCCTCTTATTTCAAAGACGACATCGAACCCAACAAAGTCATGGGGAAAACTGTTTAATATTTTAATTGGATGTATCGACATGTCTTGGAATTAAAAAAAATAAATAAAAACAAATAGAAATTATTGTTTTTTCTCGTTTTAGAATATTGCTTTGAGGGTAATGATTTTAATTTCAGATATTTAGAAATATATTAAGAAGGATTATTACATTAAGGAGGATTATTACATTACAGGGGATGATTATATTATTTTATTTTTTATTGATTCGTTTTCTACGGCTTATCAGCCCCATTACAGGTTATTTAAAGCCAGAAAATAGTTTTAGATTGTAAGAAATTTTTTGGAAGATAATAATGATCTAGTGATATGTTTTACTAATTAACCCATAGCTGGGGAAGAAGAGGTGAATTCATACCATTTCCAAAGGTATTTGCGCGTAATTGAATATAAAGAACCCAACTAGAATTGGAACTCGGCTTTCTCATTAACATTTAGCAGCTATTATCCATTACACCATCCGCACATCCAAGTTTACAGCACCTGGTATTTCCAAGCGGTCACCCATCTAGTTATTGACCAGACTCGATATTGCTTAACTTTGATGATCGTTCGAGAACCGGTGTTTCAACGTGAATAGAAGACATTAGGGGAGGTTATGTTATTAAGGAGTAAGGGATATAATTTTAGATATCTATCTTATAGAAGTCGGCAAATTTTAGAAGCTCTTGTATTACAGTTATATAGTTTACCATTTGTTTGTTAACTCCAAAGGCAAAGATGATTCAATGTGGACCTTGTCTTTTTATGCCCTTTCTTTCCTCACATGGAAATCAATATTTATGCCAAACAGAGTTGAGACGAAAAGTTTCAAGAGTCTGAGAATTAGAACACATCTTTCGAGCTCTTGGGTGACAGTTTGTTTCTGTAAAGAAGCAAATCCAAATTGTGAACAAGATTATCAATCGGTAGTATCTATAATCAACAGAGCCCGATGGGAGGTGGAGGAAGTTAAAAAACAAAAAAAACAAACATTGAATGAGAATTAAAACGAAACTTCTGAATTTGACAAAAATACAGAGAGGGCAACAAATGTTCTCGTTGAAACCAATGACGTGAGAAAATTTGTTGTCGACTGATGCTATGACCCCCCCCCCGCCATTTACAGCAGATGTAAACAACAACAATAACAACAATAATAATAATCACTATATCTAGCCGAAAGAGAAAAATAATAATAATTCTAGTAGCGATACAAAGTGAATTCGGACCGTCTTGTAGCTGGTTACACAGTGTTAGCAGCCACTGAATATAAAACACCACATGATAGAGTGGGTCAGTATCTGGACAGGAAAATGTGGAACTTTTACGGCAAAGAAACTGCAAGAAACTAGTATAAACATAACCCAGACAGAATATGTAAGAATTTATGGGACAAAGGTTTCGATAGACTCACTGGAGGGGTTCCTGGTAACACATGCAAAAAATAAACACACACACACGTGTGTGTGTATATATAGATATGTGTGTGTGTGTGTGTGTATATATATGTGTGTGTGTGTATATATATATATATATATGTATATATATACACACACACACATGTGTGTGTATATATATGTGTGGGTGTATATATATGTGTGTATATATATATATATATATATATATACACACACACACATGTGTGTGTATATATATGTGGGTGTATATATATGTGTGTATATATATATATATATATATATATACACAAGTACAGCTAACTCATTACGAAGGACTTTATATGCTCAGTGTAAAATGTCACGATTTCTGACCTTAGGTCTCTGGTTGGGACCCGGGAGGAAATGTGTATACAACAGAAATCACAGGTAATAATAATAATAATAATAATAATAATAATAATAATAATAATAATATGTTGATGATGATGATGATGCCAGTAGCTGGAAATACAACACAGTTTCAGAAGTAGCAAGATTATGCTTTCAACGTAGTAATCGTGTATTTGTAAATTAATCATAATTACTGCAACTACGGCGACAAATAACAGTGAAAAAAAGAAAAGAAAAAAAAAAAGATTGAATACTAAGATCTATTTACATTGTTGGTGTCCTTTGATTTTTATTTTGTCAAGAGATTTTATACAATAAAGAAAAAGTGAAAACTTGTTCGCATCATTTGTCCTCAATCTTTCGTATTGCTTTTGAAAATCCTTTTTCATTGTAAAATTTGCTGCTTTTTCAGAAAGTAACGCAATGTCTCCAAGTTGAAACGCACATATGCACAAACGCACGTGCATAGATATGTGCACTTCCAAGGAGACATGGATAAAAGCGTTGGTGACTTGACCCCAAAGAGTTGGGAGTTCAATACCTAGCCACAGCAGAGGGAACTTGCAGAGATGAGTTACTAAAGGGGATTAACTGAAACTGAGATACCCAGAAAATGCACGGCACGTGGAATCTAGAACAATCTAACCCCCCACCCCGTGGACTAAATAAAGTGTTCCCTCCTAATTTCCAGCATATAACATCTGAAGAAGGTGGGAGCGTACAACGGCTGAAACGTCGTGAATATGGCAATAAAGAAGAGGACAACAGTCCGATGTAAATAGTGTAAACAGTTACAATACTCCATTTCGGAAATCTCTCTCTCTCTCTCTCTCTCTCTCTCTCTCTATATATATATATATATATATATATATATATATATGTTATAGTAAAAAGAAAGAAGGGTAAGATATTATATACCCCGGTGTTCTTACTGATATTTTTATTTTTACAAAACAGTGCTCAATGTAATTTTACAGAACATAAATATTATAAATTAACTGATTTAAAAATATGGTTCCTTCGCTACACAGAAATTTCTATGTTTCAAAAACCGAAGCTAAAACTTCAAATTTAATTATATAATTAAATTAAAAGCGAATTTTGGATTGCAAAATTCGCTTGAAGATGAAACAGAACTAATGTTTTTAATTTAATTATATAATTAAATTTGAAATTTTTAGCTTCCGTTTTTGAAACATGGTAATTTCTGAGTAGCGAAGGAACTATATTTTTAAATCAGTTAATTTATATATATATATATATATATATATATATATATATATATAGTAGAGAGAGAGAGAGAAAAAGATAGAGAATAAAAAACCTGAACTTATCTCCCTAAGTTTCACCTACAGGATGATCAGGATAATTCTAATAAAGGTTGGCTCAAACGACATTTTATAGATAAATCGACCATCAGTAAGAATAAAAAAATTAGCATAAAAAACACATTCGAATTGCCAAATAACCAGGCTTTTTTATGTCTACCACCATAAAGTATTTCAGATCTCTGGTTGAGTAATTCATTAGGGTTATTGTAAGAAGCTATCGCTAATTTTTTCCTCCATATATAAGAGGCAATATCTATCACTAATATTAATTTCTAATTTTGCTTTACTTAGTGTATTGAGCACTTTTACGTATCAGCTTAGGTAACTCTGTCGGTGATTTTTTTCTTTTGGTTAGACATTGTGTTGCTGGTTTAATTATTAGAAAGCAGTACGGATGTTTTCAGTTTTTTCTTTTTTTATTGATTTTTTCCCCAGATATCAGTTTGTGTAATATATTTATGTATTTACAAATTGTATCATCTATTTTTTTTTTACCACCAGCGTTATAGGTATAAAAAAAAATAAAATAATATATATATATATATATATATATATATATATATATATATATATATATATATATATATATATCACTTGTATCGACTGAAAAAACGACAACAAAAGAAAACAAAAAACGAAACGGAACTAGTTAATTAGAGTGGTCCACATTTGAAAATAACAACTTGGTCCAGATAACTCAGCAAAAATTCAGGGATCGATTTTACATTGTATCGATATTATGAACAGGAACCCCTATTATCATGAAAAATCAATATATTTCGATTCTGGTAAATGTCGTGCCTTGAGAAAAATAGGAAAAAGATTTTGTAATTAATTTTTATAGTTTAGCTTACATTAGAAAGTGCTTAAGGCTCGACACTTGTTAGAATCGAAAAATAATGATTTTGATCATTTTAGAAGTGGATGGGTGGGTGAGGTCATGTTCATAATATCGATACAGCATAAAAACTGTCCCTGACTTTTTACAAATATATGGACCTAACTGTAAGCCGTGCGGAAACGGATTTTTTTTACCAAAAAAATTATTTTAAATAAAGAACAATCGAATATATACAATTTTAATTAAAGAACGAAAATTTACAAAAATTAATAAAAGTATATATGCGTTTTTTCTTCATTGAAGATTAATAATTATTATCCCCCAATGTTTGTGTCTGTGCTTTCAAAAATACCCACCATGTATATCTTTAAAATTAAAGATAAGTTTTAAAATTTAAAAAATTAACGAAAACATTTAGAGGGTATCAATGATCTAAGCAGATTCAAACTTGATATTTGTAAATAACAACTTAGTCTGAATAAATCAATAAAAAGGCAGTGATCAATTTTACATTGTATCGGTATCATGAACACGTACACCTCATAAATCGCTAAAAATCAATATATTTCGATTCTGACGAATGTCGTGCTATAAGCTAGCTCTAATGAATGCTAATCTACAAAAATTATTCCCCGAAAAAAACAAAAAACAAAATGTTCCCTAATTTTTACGAGTGGACCAGTCTATTTAAGTAGTGACAAAAAAAGAATAAAGACAACAAAGAGATAATAACAATGTTGATTAATAGATAACTATACCTCAGTAAAAGAAACACTTAAAATGTAGCTTTTCATAATCTTACTAAAGTTCACCCAGAGAGAACCAACCGACTACATCAGGGAAATGGTCTACAGTAAAATAATGAGGAAATAGGACCTAGAGAATTCAGCACTCACACTAAAATCGTGAGAGACTCGGGGAAACAGTGAGTAAACAGTTCCACGAGTTTGTATGAATAGATGACAAAACAAGTACAAATATGGATAGCAAAGAAACCATAGACAGGAAATTGTGGAGAGTCATGATCGACCCCGTCCTGAGTGGAAAAAGCACATAAAAATGAAGAATTATATCCAAATCGTTTTAAACTTCTCCAGAAGAAGTATGAAACACGGAAAAAAAGTAGCAAGAATCCTAGAATGGTTAATCGGAAGCATTTAAGGAACATTTCAAGATCTGCTTAATCCTTTTCTCCAAACAGCGCGCGCAAATTCAACAAAGAGCTGCATTTAATGTTCTTTTTTTCCTTGCACCATATTCTATTTCTTGCTGAGCGTCTTAAAATGAGGTCCTCCAAATTGTTTTTAGTAAATAATATCAGTCTTTCAAGATAGTTTGAACCCGGATCTATCGGATACAAAAAAGGAAACCCAACACAAACAAATGATGATGATGATGGTAATAATAATATTTATGCACTAATGGAAAATAAACAATTTAAAAAGTGTATTAAACAGAAACACTTTACAATATCTTTTTCATGTCCCTTCAGTACTTGGACTACCATGGTTCTCTACAGATTTCTTTCCTTTCTGTTTTTTCTATGACATTTTATATTTGTAAGAATTGCAATAAAGAAAAGCTGTTAATGCAAAAATAACGAAAGTAGTTTAATTTCTTTTTTTTATGTTT